CCTTGGTCTGAGTGGATACTAATAATTATCTATAGACTAGGAACATTTACCTAATGTTCAATTCTTTGCTTGTTTCTTTTTCCCATAGTAAGTTGAAGGAAGAAAAAATATGTAACAAATATATATTATATGATTAGTTGCAGTTTTTTTAAATAATAAAAAGTTCTATGAAAATTTGAATAATGATAGAGTGAGTGCATTTAAATCGTGAAATGAACTTAAATAGTCTAAACAAAAAATACTTAAAATGTTGATTCCATGGTTAAATACACTCACTCTATGCATGTATGCAAATGGTCAATTTAATTATTACACCCCCCAACCAAGAAAAAAAATCTTAATTGACCAGCATTCATGAMTGCAAGGTTTTTGCAGTTACCAAGACCATTTTGAAAGGTAGYCTTGTCAATCAGTCCTATGACAGTTTGTCCAATTTGCAAGTGCAACAGCTGCAAAGTCGTTATGCATACCTTGTAAGGAGATGCYGGTAATGTAAAAAAGTGTAGTGTAAAGTAGAAAGCTTACTCATTTGGGTGCTGAAAGAATACCCAAACAGCTGTCTCTATGGATATTGAAATTATAGTGCAGACAGCAATGTAGGTTGGTCGAGGTCCTTACTACCTGTCCATTTGATTTTGCAATCATCAGGGTACGAATTTTGAAGGTGCATTARGTATCAGTCTTATTCTCCAACAAATGGACAACTGCTTCATATGTAAAGAACATGATAGCAGTGTTGGGAACTTGTCTTAATAAATGAGTCCCTAAACCTCCATATAATCCACTAAATCCCTCTTCCCTCACCACTGTTTTTAATGTCTGGAAAAATGCATGGTACTTTTGTTTGCCAAGAAAGTAGCTTTCTTGTTGTCTAAGGCGAGTTCTAGCTACTTCGTGAGGATAGCATAGACTTGTGGCTATTGATTTCGAAATGCCAGCTGCTACTAAACATTCAAATGCTTTCATGTCTTTCGGGCTTTTATTGTGATAGTCCAWKAGCCTTTGTTTAAGTTGCTCATATATAACAAAGTGCAAAACAGTTTCAGARATKCCTATGTAAGATGCTGTCAACCCACGATAAAATGCACGGACTCCCTCTGATTTATACGCCGTTGTGATCACTTCTAAAGCGCTAACTTTCTTTGTTCCTTGATTCTCAAGTTGAAGTCTGGTTTTCACGAACCAAAGGGGATTAGTGAGGGTATGATTAATAAAAGAAGCTACAGCTGCTGAATTCATGTGAACCAATGAACCATTCACTTTGAAAAGGCCAGAGTTGTTTAAACTTTCCTTTAGTTTTGTATACAAACCAAAGTAGATTGCTCTGGACGGAGTGACTCCTAAAAGTGTCGGCCCCAAACCTTTATAAAGCGATAAAACGCCTTCAYTTCTCACCATGAATCGAGCATAGGATAGGATACCAGTAAACCTGCTTCGCCGTATCGATGATGTTGTGAAATCTCCAGTCGGTGAAAGGCCAGCCGTCGACATTGCWGGCACMGCAACTTTACTTATTGTCCGTTGTATTCTGAAGGCTGAAGATTGAAGTCTTGTTTGGATAACCTCTAATGGACAAGTAGCCAAAGCTCCCATCGAGCCTCCTAAACCGCCTCCAACCAAGTGAACGAAAAAGTTCTTTTTTTCAGACATTTCTTCGCGGTTTCGTGAGACAAACTWTCAACGCGAATATCAGCGAACAAAATAACTTTCTCTAGACCCATTTTTAACAAAACAGGCCTTAACGGACTCTAAAATCGAATACGCCATTATTTTGTCCTAATTGAGAAGGTTTTAAAAGWATTTAGGACAAAATAAACYGGCTACAACGCCGAACCATTGGACTTGCGGAACTTATATAATGCCATGGATGTGATGCAACTTATAATGACGTCGAATATACGCCTTCTTTTTTTCCTTATATGGAATACCACAACAGGTTTGTCAAACAGGTTTTGCGTCACGATTTCCATAGTCCACGAGTACAGTCGTGCAGTCTGTYAGACAGTTGTGATCAACAGTAAAGAGTATTTTTAAAACTTCTACAAAAACTGCCATCCAAAAGTTATTCTCGTCAAACCAGACGAGGGTCCTGCGATATATAAAAATATCTGACTTCGAACACGAAATGTCACACAAGAATGTCACGATTTTTATAGGACTGAAATATGTAAATCGTGAAAAAATAAACAAACGCTATAGTATACGTATTATGTAGACAAAAATTTCCAAATATATTTCTGTAGCAATGCAAACTACGTCTTTTAGAAAATYAAAWATAATCTGCGTCCAKAATAGACGGTCATTTCGAAAATATTTACAATTCTACTCGTTCCACAGCCGGCACTTTCGAAATGAGTGCGTGCATTACWGCACATCTYCGTGTTTCTACTCCACAGTTTTAATAAATCACCTGGCYATTTTCATTCTCTTGATGAATTATTACTAGATTATATCGATGGCTTTTTAAGCATTTTCCTCAATTTTTCGAGGAAATGATTATCATGATTGACATTTTATTTTCAGAAGGAATCCTCTAGCMATGACGTCACATTGATGTCAGATCCGAATGCATGAGACACTGCACTAAGGTCCTCAGTCTCGGGAAATTTTTCATTATAGTCACGGCGATCAACAGCCGAGCAAAGGTAAGAACATCTTTTCTATGAATTATACTCTTTCTCTGGTCKAAAACGTTACAAATGTATCTAAAACGTTCACTTAGTATTCCGTWGCCATTTCTGACAGGATCGCAGGAGCATTTTAAGATGATATATATTACATAATAACGTCGTAAATATAAAGTCACCGTTTTTCTGGCTAAATCGAAAATAAAAGAATCAATAATTGTACGTGTACTTTCTTTTAGAAAGCCATATCCTCGATGGAATACTTGAAAATAAAGCTAGAGTGCTTTGCCCAGCCGAATTTCGAAAGTCATAATGAGAAAGGGACTTAAATATAACTTACTATAAAGAAAAGGCTATACAAAATGTTAGAAATTCGTTTCGTTTCCGCTGAAGAATTTAAAATTACATAATCAATGAAATGAGGAAAATGAATACGGTAATTATTGTAGTAATGAGTGTTATGGACCATTCGTCGCGAATTTCAATGACTGTTTATATACGCATAAATTTAACATTTTATTTTGTAGTAATTTTAGGTCAAAATCTTACAAAGTACGAATGTCGGCAAAAGACACAGATTCGTTTAGTCCTTAGATTTAAAATAATGCATATACTTTGCATAAAATCAAAATATAGTCCAATTTAAACTATTAAACTACTATTGACATTGACCCCTGACGATTTATTACCTGTTAAAAAGCAYAAATTCCCGTAAATCGCAAATAGAAAGAAACAGAGTTTCCAAAAGACTCGAGAAATGAGTACAGGACTGACGTCGATTTAAGAATTTTAAAGCAAAAAAWTAGAAAAATTGGAAGGCTATGCAGAATGACGTCAACGCATGARTTCAAACATTMAGCTGGTCACGTACTTACTTTGTGGCCGTGACATTCTTTGWAACCTCTAAACTCTAGCTATCGTTTATGATTGCTTTACATGTACATGTTCATACGCTTATAGTAAAGTGCAAAGTAACAAAGAAACTACAATAAACAAGAAAAAATAATTGAAAAAAAAATGAAAAAGGGACAATTTCAACATAAATATAAACTAATTAATGAATATAAACAAGCAATCTGTAAACAAATTAATAAAAAATGATTAACATCAATTTCCTAGCTTTCATTCAAGTCTCATAATTAATGAGTTGATTATCATTGATTTTCTCAGATCCAGAAAAAACTTTACAAAAACATGTGTAACAGACAAATCCAAAAGTTGCAAAAAGAAGCAACAMTTAGAAGAAAAGAAACAAAAACAGAATCACGTCCAATGCTGACAGATTTTATWGCTGGGGGAGCAGGAGGTTCTGTTGCAGTGATAATGACATGCCCACTAGATGTCATCCAAACAAGGCTGCAATCTTCAGCTTTCAGAATGCAGAGATTATCATCARCAATGAACAAGAACATAGATCTTGCAACCCTCCGCACATCAACCAAACCRCCTTACTTCATGGGGTTATTTTCTTATGGAAGATATATCGCAAGAAGTGAGGGTATACGGTCACTTTTCAAAGGCCTTACACCAACTCTTTTAGCTGTCACACCATCACGTGCAATATACTTTACTACTTAYAAAGGAGTCAAAGACTATCTTAATTTAAAACAAAGTACAATAACACCTGACAGCACTGGTGTTTACATGATTGCCGGAGCTGCTGCGCAGTTTGTTAATTCTACCATCACAAACCCGTTATGGTTTCTCAAGACAAGACTTCAACTTGACTTTAACCATAGGCAAAAAATGTCAATATTGCAAACCATTCGTCAAGCCTACCAAGAAAATGGAATAAGAACATTTTATCGTGGCCTTAGAGCTTCATATTTGGGTATGATAGAAGTTGCAATTCACTTTGCATGTTATGAGAAACTTAAGGGTGAACTTCTGGGGTTACAACAGAAATCTGAAGGTTCATTTGCAGTTGTAGAGTGCACAATAGCTGCAGGGGCAGCCAAAATAATCTCAACAGGATTATGCTATCCATATGAAGTGATTAGAACTAGACTAAGACAACAGCAAAGTCATGTCCTGGGAGAGCAACGCTATCAAACATGCATACAAACTTTAAAGACAATCATCAAAGAAGAGAAGTTAAGAGGGTTGTATGGTGGTATGGTGACAAGTCTGATACGTCAAGTGCCTTTTATAACAATAATGTTTTGCACTTATGAAGGAGTAGTTTTTCTGATTGAAAGATACAGTGACAGTTGACATTCATGCTATTTAGAAGGAGGTTAGCTATTCAAGACTACTATTCATAAGCTAAGACTAAGGTATTATAATACTGTTATTAAGGTAGGATTGAATTTATTTATAAAAATGTCAAAATGACAACATTACATGCCAAAGAGACAATATCAACACAAGTCATTTGAGCAAATCAATTTATTGGTAAATTTTCACAGGCATTCCAAGTGCTTTTAATTTATTTATTGATTTTTTATATATATTTATAGATTATTTACTTAAAATATGCCACAAGCATTYGATAGCATATTTTGCTRATGTAAAWAARTTATTATGCAAATGACRTTGTTGTCTTTATGTCTTTACAACTGACTGTATAATATTTTGGGTGTAATAAATCTATCATGCTATTCTGTTGTATATTAAAATATCAATTTTGAAAAAAAAAAAGATTTAAAAAAAGTTCTTCATCTAATATCAGTGACATAGTGAATAATGACCAACAAATCTACACTGTAGAGACTTTGCTTCTCTAYATCCTATTCCAGCCTCAATCTCTCCATGTATCCTTACAAAACCCATACATAAAATGTACTGTGAAGAACACTAAACTGTGTACATTTTAGCCAGCACCTTACCCACACAAAATATGAATAATTTAATTAATTACTACTACCATCTCCTTCATTATCAGCAACAGCCTCTTCTTCAGATTGAGGGTTGGGTGGGTTGCTGTCACTGTCATGTCCTGATCCACCAACTAGACCAGCATGATTTCCTTCATCTTCTGCAGGAGCATCATCCATAATGATATCTTCTGGATTTGGTATAGCAGGRAGAAACTCCTCRTCATCTCCACAAATACTTCTGAATATTTCTTTAGCCTGAAAATTACAGAATATTTTTATCCACATTGCTTAAAATCACATGCCACATGATCATTGTAGGGATAACTATTTACTGTAAATGAAAAGGGACTTGATTAGCTGTGTCTTTAGTTTTACATCTATGCAAAAACTTTAAACATTCAGGCRTTTTTGATTTAATTTCTTTGAGTGAGAATTCACTGGGATAGGGTTTAAATAGGTATAATTATTTTAAGTACAGTACATACAAAATCAATCTATGTGAATGAATTGAAGTGGAGATTCGTGCACTCCTGTASTATAAAAGTGGTGATTTATACCTGGTTCATTGCATGGCTGAAACCAAGGGTWGATCCTGGTAATACTGTGCAATATACATTGCCTGGCAAGGTTGACGCAGTATTGTCATTCTCATGGGAGGCAGCATGATTAAAATACAATGACCACAACACAACTGGTTTTGAACTYTCTCTATCATCTGAAAGAAGTGGATTTTAAATTAACAAGAGAAGATTAGCCTCACTTTAGGTACACTTCTGTTAGCCTAATGGTATCCCCATGTATGTGCAGAGGTGTAATGTATGCTTTGCTTTGACGAGTGGAAATAAATGGAATTTTTTTATGTCAAGATTACTGATTCAAGTCCAGTCTAAGGCAGAATTTTTCTCTCAAATAATTCACATATTTATATTCTTGAAGCATATAATTATCATTTCGTAGTGGCATAGAAGCTAGCAGATGGAGAAAATCGTCTATTATAGTTTAGTTAATCACCCGCTACTTACRAATTTATTTGTGAATTATTTGGTTGTTGTTTGTTAATGGATTGCAGAAAACAGACGGGTACTTTATTTATTTTGACATATACTTTAATTTTTACTGAAAACCCTGGTTAAAGAAAAATATTGTTCATTCGAATCATATTCAAACTTACCATCAGTCTGAGGGAAATATAAAAGTTCTTCGGCTGTAGATTTCAAATCCTCTTCAGCAGAAACACARTGGTCTGTTACCATGTGAACAACATTAAGTCCACTAGGACAAGCAGCTGATGTCTTGTCAAGCTCTACCACTGTGATTGGACTACCTTGTTCGCTGGTCCTTGGCATTGACATAAGAGTTACAGCTCCTTGAACTGATGCTTTAAGAGATTTRTCAGTAATAAAAACAGCTCTTGACACATAATTAGTAGTTCCACCACTCCATTTGATTGGTAAATATGAATTTCCAATAATAAGCCACTTGCATTTAAGAAACTGTCCCTCTGATGCTATTCCTATGCAAGCATTTGTASTAGCATCCACTGTTATTGATTCTGYACTTCTCCTTAAACAGTACAAACCTCCAAATACTGCACACATGCGACAAAAGGCTTGCGGCAATTCACCAATACCATAAAGAGGCCATATGAATGGTGTGTTACCATAGCGACCAAGGGAGTGTAAAAATGAAYGAGTTGTCTTGAGACCTGTAAGAGTGTCAGCATCTTGAGACAGCATAGCAATGGAGTGCAAGACAAAGTGCTGCAGATTCGGTGATAGCCGTCTTGATTGCAAGAAACTAATAAAAGGTTTATCAACATATTCTTTGTATTCATCTTCATGAYTTTCAAAATCAATGCAGAATGTCAAGAGTTTCATTAAAGTTCTTTTCTCAATAGCAGATATCAGTTTGCTGCTGAATACATCTGATCTTGAGCAAGGTACATCTTCAATTTTACCATTCAGGTAAGTAAGTATTCTATTGACCATCTTAAACTCTGCATAGTGACTGATGTTTGCACTAATTATAGCYTCTACAAGAGGRCCTCGTGAAAACAGCATYTTTGGTGYRATGTCAATGTTGAATTGCCTGAAGTATTTCTCAAARTCCTGATAAGTCATGTCTTTATTAACTGCTGGCTTAGAATTTGTGATTTTTTTGGCAGTTGGCATTGGCAWGGTCTCTGCTGTTACTGCAGATGCYGCTGCTGTTTCTCCCTCTGATGCRGCTGATTCGGTTGTTGCTATTTTTGCATCTTCTTGACCTGCTTCAGACATGGCTTTTGAGGAGTCATTAGGTTTAGGAGCTGAAAAGCTACTTGATTCATCAGCATTTTCTTCTGAAATACCACTTTCCAAATCATTGCATGTGGRGCTATCCTGTTCTTGTGGATCTATATGAAAAACCAAGGAAAGATAGTAGTAGTAAACATTTGATATTCAATATTTGATCTAAAAAAGAGCTCAAAAAGTCTTCGCTAAATTGTTCTAGTTATACAAAGAACTTGTGAAAACTGATGTGCCTTCATAATACAAATCTGAACTATTTCCGCCTTCTATACCATTATTTTGTGTCTCTTTGACATCCATAGAATMATCTTTGGTTTCATCTTCTCCTTCTTGAATTGATCTTTCAGGGACTGATTCAATTTCTTTTCTTTCTGTCCTATAGGAATTCAAATACTTTTAAAATAAAATATGATGATGTACGTATACAATAATACTGGTAATGACCACTTGAGGAGGTTTATTATGAAATTTTGGAATTCAGCGAAAAATTCAACTTACCTAAAGTATGATTTTGTTACAATATTCCTAACCATATCAGATGTCAWAGGTAAAGGAAAAACGTTTTCATTATCTTTACTTGTTGAGTCTGTTATATCTGGTGTAGCTTCACTTTGTGGGACCTTAAAACAACAACAAATACATTGTATTATAATTCAACTGATTTTATTCAAAAACTATTATTGTTGCAGTAATCAATGATACCTCATTTAATTCATTTGTTTTAATCCACTCCAAAAKACCATCAAAAGTAAATGTTGCCCAGTCACTTGAGTAGTATTCATTTCTTTAAAAACAAAAATTAAACTTTAATCAAAAACATCAGTTTGTTTATAATATGGTGGAATACCTATCGAGATGCAGGACTGACTTCCCAACTCTTGCCAGGGCTGCTGCAATGACAGACTCAGGAAGACCTTCAAAACAGGACAAATTAGCTGAGCAAGGTAAACGAGCTTCTTTTTCCTACTCAATTTCACACCGATTACCAAGATAACAGGAAAAAATACGACCTTAAAGCCCATAAGTACTAAAGATTCAAATAAAACACGTAAGAATAAGAGAAAGTGTTCCACAAACCTGTTCCAAGTATGATTGCATCGTACTCAGTGGGCAAGTCGTCCGCCATTTTGAAATCAAATATAACTTCCACCTTACACGGTTTCTGATTGGTCAATATGTYACTTGATCTAAGGATTGATATAATTGGTTGAATCATATCTGGATTTCGTGCCGCGCGCGCGCTTCAGCGCATCTTTCGATGTCAAGGAGAAGAAGTTCGAATTTGAAGTGATAAACACTTTGTCAAACAAGTTGTTCAAACAAGCGAAGGATAGCTACTGATAAGCTTACAAGAGAAAACTCTTAAAGAGGTATTACGGRCAAGTAATATATCATCCAGGATGCCAAAGTTGGTAATTTTTGATCTTGGAGGCGTCGTCGCCACAACACCGATGTTTGCCATCCAGCGTTTTGCTTGGGAAAAAGGCATTCAGAGGTAGGATTAATTAAAAGATCAACTTAAAGTCTAGTATTTGTTATGAATATAACAGGCAGGTATGAAACGGTGATATTTATGCATCACTTGCAAACTTTTTATTTAAAGCTTTTAAAAACTCTTAAGTTATGTCCCATCTGATGTCSAAAAATTCGCATGTTTTAGCATTTTAGCTTATTCTTCGATTTGATGACATTTAAGCTTACCGCATCCTCAAACATGGCCAATTTTGAATATTGCTGAAAAGCCCCACCAAACCACTTTCGATATTCTGGTTGAGTGATCATGTGCAAAAAAAAAAAAAAAAAAAAAAAAAAAAGGGCTCAAGGAAAACAATGGAAATCTTAATGTTTTTTTTTTCTTTCCAGCAGTAGCATTGTCTTGAACTATATTATTCATGGCCACTTACCAACATTTTATATTTGCTGAGTCATAGCTGATGAAAAGGAAAAAGAAACAAAGAAATGAAAACAAAAATTAAACAAAATAAATTATAGCTTAATAAGTTAAGTATATGAAAACAGAGGCCCAGGACATGTGAGGRCAACCAACCTTACCATTGTATTTTCCAGCTCCTTTCTTCAAAAACTTTTAATGCCTACTGATGAAAGCCATCCAATGTTTCAACTAGAAACTGGAAGAATCTCATTAACTCAGGTAATTTTGTTCATCATGGAACATTGTATAAGCCTCCTCTGCAAGCCCACACAGGTGTCTCTCCAGCTTGTTATCCTTTTTTATGGGTTTCAACTTGCACTTTTTCTGATTGAACAATAGATAATAATTTATGGGATTATGTCACGTAACCCTGCTGAACGAGAAGGATAGAACAGGGATCCCAACAGGCAAGGCACAATAGAGGGCTGCCTGCAGAGGAGTTTATTTTAATTTGTAAAATCTTAGTCTTGGTTTTTTCTATCTTTTATAGTTTTGTCAGTTGGCATCAGACCTTATTCTTAAAATGTGTGAAGAAGAAGGCATTGAACTTCACAAAGACTTCACTGTGGAGGGACTGATGAAAGAGATCCCAAAGTCATTGAAGGTGGTTCCCGAGATGTTGAATGCTTCAGCAGCTTTAAAAGCAGCAGGTATGTAATAATTGGTATTTCATTGTGTGGTTTTGTTTATAACCATTGTAAGGTGCATTTCCATCCTATATATATTAATGATGTCATATTTGTGCAAATTACAAATAATACAAATTATCAATATTATGAATGAAGGTTGTAAAACATATGTAGCAGGGGACTGTGATTTCCCTGTATTTATATAAGCGCAGTATACCACTTATATAACCTGTATTACTGGTCATCTCGCTGCATTTGCCATCTCACTCCCACTTTGCCATCTCGCCCCCACTAGGCCATCTCGCTGCAATATTATATATCCGAAGATATATCTGAAGACAAATATCATCTGAAATGTGATATGTGAACTAACGGATATGTAATATTAAGGCGAGATAGCATAGTGAGAGCGAGATGGCAATGATGCGAGATGACCGTAATTCTATAGGACAATATTAAGCTTATACCTTTGTTCTCTTAGGTATCAAAACCTGCATTCTAACAAATAATTGGAAAGATGACACAGAAACTGGTCAACTTGTCTCAAAAATAATGTTGTTGCGGTACTATTTTGATGAGATTTTCGAATCTTGTAAACTKGGACTCCGTAAACCTGATGCAGAGATTTTCAAAACAGTTTGTTCTAAAATGAACRTTGATGCAAGTGAGGTGAATTTATTTGTTGGAATGAAGTGTACTTTTAATATTTATTCTTTATTGTGTTTGCAGAATCATTCTAGTTTAAATATATGAGTCTATGTTTGAGAAATATACAAAGGATTGCTTAATTCAATAAATGCATAATGAATGAATGGAAAAGAAGAAATGATTAATTCTGTTAATGAAATGTCATCTTGAAAGATAGCCTAGCCTTGGCATTGAAGTGAGATGGACACTGAGTGTGCAATGGTAGATACCTGTGAATAATCATAGATGTGAAAGAAGGTTTCTGTCGTTGCACGCTGAACGGCCGTTTCACAGTACATAGGCACAGTCACCATTCAAGATGTGGTGTCATCTCTTTTACATTTTTCTAGGACTGCGAAAGAGAGCAGTATGTAATAAAATTTTACATTTAAAAGCATGTATTAAGATTTCATTTTTTAAAGTTGTAATTAAAGTAGAAGAAAAATATCTAGTTTGTTACAGACATCTTGCCCAATGTTATAGTTCACCATGATGCCTGTAGTAAAGGTTGCTGATTGAAGCACAGGAAAACCATTCTCAATTATTTTCTAGACAATAGTATTAGATGACCTTGGMCACAATCTAAAGAATGCAAAAGAGTTGGGCATGACCACCATTCATGTAAAAGATCCTTTCACTGCTCTTACTAGTCTAAAGGAAATCTCTGGCATTGATGTAAGTTCATGTTGATGAATAAGCCAATTCTTTATTATGCTTCACTTCAATGTAATTTGTGGTGAATGCAGTGAAAATCTACCTTCAGATAATAGGAATCGTTTGATCATTTGACCTGAAGAAGGAGGTGGATTTCCGGGGTAAAAAACCATATATGCTTCTCTCAAATTTTTTGAAAATTTACCAAAACTATTTCCAAAAGGGCTTAAATTGGCAAATTTATACCACTGAGAGASATAACATGCATGTAAAAGAATACTTTTGAAAGACATTATATGATGCTGTATGCCAAAGGGTTGAAATTCATTGTACTGTGAAAAGATTCCTTTATGGACAGACACCCTAAAGTACCAATTTTCATTTTTTGCAGTCATATAAGCAAGTAGACCTTGGTTTCACAGTTTTTACACCATAATGCAGTAGTAAAATGTACTTGTTCTCACAGATTAATACATGAATGATTATAATTTCAGGTCTTCAAACCCTGCCCAGTTCCCCCAGTCACTGCTGACAAAGTAGCYCATTCATTTGCAAGTTTATCAGTAAGCAAGAACAGCTATATTTGATACAACAAGAACATGCTATAAAACATTAAAGATACAGTGAATGAAAATAGACGTCTAATAAATTAACTGTTCGTACAAAAATTGTAAAGAAAATATTAAAATTTTATAACATTTACAGCTTTTAAATCAAGATTTGTATTTGTTTTWTATGTATATTTTATGTAATCATAACAATCTCTGGATCTCTGGTTTTCTTAGACAGGGATCAAAATGCATTATGTGGACATGGGACATGGTCCAGTTGTCATTTTATTACATGGTTTTCCTGAGTTTTGGTATACATGGAAATATCAGGTATATTTGACTGCCTATTTCTGTTTACTAGTCACTTAGTTAACCCTCTGTAACTTCTTTGATTCATATTTTAGTCTCAAAACAAACTTGAAAAGTGTGTAAAAGAGTATCAGTGARTTAAGAWTTCCTMAACACWATTTCATTGTGTCATGTTTGAWTTTTTCTTTCAGATCCCAGCACTAGCATTAGCAGGCTACAGAGTGATTGCCCCTGATCTTAGAGGTTATGGTAAAACTAGCAGTCCTCATGGTAAGTGGTTGAAAGATATGATGATAGATAGCACTTTTATAATTCAAACAATTGAACAGTTAGAACATTACTGCTAATTCAAAAAAAAACCCTCAAAAATATGTTTTTTAATTTAAAACATTTTGCAGAAATAACTGAATATCAAAGAGAAAAGATTGCTCAGGTATGTTTACAATGAATATTATTATCTTTTTATAATATTCTATTAGAGTGCTCCCACTTAAACTGTGAAACAAATAGTACTAAACTATACTAAATAATGTTGATTATACAATAGGAAACAAAGGAATTTGTATAATTTATCACCTATTTTGTAGTATTTATATTTCATGCATTTAGTGTGAGCAGCACTTTATTCTAATATTTTATTATTTTCATTTACTAATGATTGGTAATTTTTTAAAGTCCAAACTTGCATAAGATGTAGCTGTTATATCCAAAAATATTACATTAAAAATTGTATTGTCTTCATTTTTTGTAGGACTTAATATCACTCATGGATTGTCTGGTAAGTCGAAGAAATATTCTATCACTTCATGTCTAATTTTAAGTAATTGCGAGAGGGAAAGGATTGAAGTGCATCACCTCGCAATTTATCTGGAATGTTACAAAGGAAATGATTTAAGCTTAAGCCATTTAATAGAGGTTAATGTTCTTACCAGATCATCCATCAAGTAACTCTTGTAGGTCATGATTGGGGTGGTGCAGTTGCCTGGGACCTAGCCATGCATTATCCAGATAGAATAAGGTCAGTACAACGTCATTATCAGATATAACACATTTAACATATCTCTGTATGCACATGTAATATATCCTCTATTTTATTAATAATTAATAATAATAATAATTTAACATTTATATAGCACACGGTCCATAGAAAGATGCTCCCGTGCGCTTATTCATTTATTACAATGTAATGTGCTCATTGAATTTAGGGCTGTTGCCAATATGACACCATATATGCCACCCAATCCTACAGTCAACCCTCTTAAAGCTCTTCRTGCCAAACCAGGAATATTTCAATATCAGCTGTACTTTCATAAAGAGGTGGGRAAATAAATTAGATTTTTTTCAACTGGAAAGCATTCATCATCAACCATCATGTAACCATCAAATTTTCTTCGCCATATAAAACAGGGTGAAAAAATGTTCTTGGCRTGCACTGATTTGCTACAAATGTATTATCAATTACAACGTTCGATCACAGTATATATACCAATGACAACAATAAAGCCATTGTGCAAACAAGAGTTTTTCAAATTGCATTTGGATTATTTCGTTATTTTCTAGCAAATTTTGTCATTGTCGGTGGTAAAACTATTTTAATTTGACTTTTGTTTCRCTCTCCACCTGACATCATTACAAAAGGAAACTGGGTGTGAACAGCTCTGTTTCTTGAGTTAATAAACAACGATTAGGTAAATGAATATAGAAATGAATGAATGGGTGTGAAAGAATGGAATGAAAGGGATATGATATAATTATATGTATGAAGGACGTAGGAAATCAATTACAGATATCTCAGTCTTTACATTTGATAGGGTGAGGCAGAACAAGAATTTGAGAAAGATATGCATAGAACTTTCAATCTGTTCTATAGAAGTCCTGAACAACAGGTAATGTTCAATTACGTCATAGTAGTTAAGAGTGATATATTTTTCACACCTTTTGTAGAACAATGATATTATACTCAAAGATATCAATATAAATACAATCTCAACCGCATTCTCTTTGATGCCAATGAATGGCTAACTGTAAAATTATTATTTTAAATATGCTGTCACATCTTTTATGTTGTACAAGATTTATTTAGAAGCTTGTATTTGTTAATTCTTACTAACAAGATCATATTCTGTCTAATTCCCTATTGTTTTCTGTTAAGCTTCTTGGAGGCAAAGTATCCACTGCAAATGTTCTAGAGAGAGGTACATTATCTTTCAACACCACACAATCAAACTAATATGTCATTGAACCTGTGATTTTCCATTGATTTAGAAAGGACAATGACTATCTAGTTTGTTTTTGATGATAAAGAAAAAAAGAAAGCAATTTATTTGTAATATTACTTACCACTACTAACTATAACCTTACTGTTCTTCATGGTATCATCATATACCTTGATATTTAAACTCAATCATCATCACTGTGATCATCATATTTCCCATTGATGTATGCATCCGTATTCCTCTTTTTCTGTGAATCTTTCAAAAATGCACTCACTCTGGAACCTCTGTAAAAATATGTACCATTCATTGCTACAAAGACAAACCAGTTTTCTCTTAATTACAATTTCTCTTTATATTGAACCAAGTATGTATTTATTCAATAATTAATGTGATCTTTAGGTAGCTTGTTTGGTGGTATTCCAGATTCTGTTCCAAAGACATCACTATTGTCAGAAAAAGATTTGGATTTCTTCGTGGAAAACTTCTCAGTGACTGGATTCAGGTTACCTGACATATATGTTCCTTGTTAAGACTTTTTAGGCTCAATGTCTTATTTTGGGTTTCATGTCTTTGGATTGCCATATGGCACTTGTGCTTGATTATGGCTAATGTAGTAAATTTAATTAACAAATATTTGATTTTACATTTTAACACATAGTACAACACTGCTTTCAATATGTTTACTAAACGATTGTATTATCATTTATTAGAGGACCCCTCAACTGGTATCGCAATATGGAGGCTGACTGGACTTGGAGCTTAAAAGTTGTTGGTAGAAAGGTAATAAAAATGTGTATCATACATCAATACAAAAAACTGCTACCTGCTAGAACCTCTGCAGGCATCTCTCTTCCACTCCTGGGCTTCCTGTCTTCCTCAATATGACTGAGGGAGTGTGATGTGGCAGAAAAATAAAAGAGACACAACATGCCTTCAATTCTTGGCCAGGCCCAAGGCTGCCACTCCGCCAAGAGGACTACATGTAGTACTACACACAAGATACATGTAGTTTTCAAAAGTATCAGCTCTCTATCATTTTACACAGTCATCTTGCTTCAATGCAAAACAGGAAATTGTGAGGGAGACTACCAGATAGACATGGTTACTGTACCATTGTAATACTTAGTTTTACTAATTAGTACTAAACTGTATCATATTGTTTGTAGATTCAGCAGCCTTCACTAATGATAACATGTGGAAAAGAATTTGTCTTGCTTCCTTCTCTATCAGCACACATGAAAGACTGGGTAAGCCATGTTGTATGAGCAGATTGGCTYCACTGAAACTGCTATGGCTCTAAGAGTATTGGAGGAAGCATGAGATTTCTCCAGTCTCTAAAAGCTGCTATCTTGGCTAGTTTTCTCTCCTTTTTATCACTAAATCCTGATCCTTGCTTATAAATTAATA